CGGTACACAGTTGCAAAACATATATCAGACTCTGCTAGCGGCTAGTCTGTTTTAGATTTGACAGTTGTGAACTCATCCAATCACCTCATAGTATTATTAACTTAACAGGTCAATGAAAGTTTCTGTGTGTCAAATATAAGTATGTATTTTCCTTTTAATTTTAGTTATTCAACGGAGGTCTATTTCACCAATAACGAAAGATACGTTTGTCAGCAGTTTGATTGGTTAACAAGTGATTTGAGAACAGCCAATCAAAATAGAGATAAAAGACCATGGATCATTGCGTTTGGACATCGACCAATGTACTGCTCAAATAACGACGGTGATGATTGTGCAGATGCTTTTTTGAGGGGATGGGTGAGATCTGGGTAAGTTATATATAGAAAAGCACCGAAGCATGGGGCTATCTGATTTGTTCGTGTGTAAATTAAATTGCCGAGTGTTTTGATGTAGTGTCGCTTTCACATCATAGGCAACAATAAAAACACGTTCCCTGTTGTCACGATATGACCCCCCCCCCCCCCCCAAAAAAAAAAAAAAAAAAACAAAAACAGCTTATAACCTTTGTACGAGCATCTGAGTATGATATTATTTTCGCTCATCCGTTCTCAGGCGTCACAATAAGTAAACCCCAATCGCAACTTTTCGACCTTTCCCGTCAGTTTTCGGATAAGGACCGAGCGCGTTCCAATTGAAGTAAAGTAAGCCAAACAATGATACAATGTCATATATTGGCATACTCGTACTTTGGATTTATTCAAGTTAAATGTCTCACGAGGGTCATTATTATTATCTATTTATATAGCTTTTTGATTTAATTAGATTTCCTAGTCATGAAAGGTATTTTGAAAATTGATATTTCTAAGACATTTGTCCAAAGAACAAAATGTTCTAGACTTCTACCATTTTGTCATTCTACGGGTGGACAGCGCGACACCAACTCCCTAAGTATCAGTAAAGATCCGTGGTAACAGCGCATAAAACGACTTACAGTGTGTTTTATAGCGAAGCCCAATTGGTGCAGATGGTTTACGTTGGTAGGCCTGGCAAAGTGCATTTGTTTCTATATGCAGTGTAATTAGCATGAGCGATTTAAACAGATTGTGTTTTCAAACCAAATAACATCTGAGGCTACCTATAAAGTTTTATATTTACCAGCCTTACATACTCAATCAAACCGAGTCTGCAATTTTCTTGTGATTTTGTTGTGATTAATGCTTATTACTATAAGTCATATGACGATAAATGCAATTTGAATAACTGTTATTTAAATAAGGTGTTTTGTCTTTGTGTATTGAAAATAAACTTAAAAAAACTTTCATAAACATTATTAAATCATCTAAGTGCACGATATGTAGGGTAGTAGTTCCTTGAATTTTACGAAAGCGCGCAAGTATTTTTACAATGATAACGGGATAAATGTGACATTATATAACCCTATGATAACTTTAAAACTATCGGCTGTGAACAAGGGTCATATAGATCTCAACAACAATTTATTAGAGGGATTTAACATTTGCTTTTAAGTCAATCATCCAATATCAAAGTCTTTCGGGGTTTTTTTTACATTTAATGTAAACGAATAACTTGCAATTAGACTAACAGAATATAGTGATAATGTTTTCAGACTTGAGTCATTGTTTCATGCCCAAGGTGTTGACCTTGTGATCGAGGCACATGAGCATTCATACGAGAGACTATATCCTATATTTGACGGGAAGGTAGAGCGGTTTAACTATATCAATCCAAGAGCTCCTGTTCACATTATTACTGGTGCAGCTGGGTCAACAGAAGGAATAGATGGCTGGGAAGGTATGATTATCAGAATCAATGTAATGTGTTTGATATATTTTACAAATCAAGGCTAGTTTGTATCAACAATAGGGATGAATTAAGTAGAAGACCTAAACGAGCGACAGTTTTGAAAATAGTAAACTTTAAATGAACAGACTCAATCAAACCGAGCCTGCAACATTTTTTAATTTTTCCTCGTTGGTCTTTCTTTTAGTATTCTGTTTTACTCTATTTTACCAGTATTTGTTCATTTTGTAGCAATAAATGTCTGCACTTTTTCTGTAGAATAAGATTATTGAAAATCATTCAGCTGTTTTATCTTTGAGATTGAACTAATATCTGGTCTAAATTAGGTCGACCAAAATTTTCAATCATATTCCATTTTTTTAATGGTCCCAACAAGATTTCAGACAATATAATTGATAAAATTGGCTTCTACATAAATCTAGGCTAGTGTGAGCACAAGCAAAATTGAAACATGGTATTTTTGGGTATCCTGGTTCGAATGGTCAAGTTCGTTGACTTCAAACAACTTGCCATTCACCGCTGTTGATTCGACCATCGCAAGCGTCTTTCTATTCTTTTATGTTAGAAAGCTGTCCAGCTAGCTAACGAAACGTCGATGGTTCTACATAGATACCCGTTTGTGCAATAATATGCAAAGGGGCACCTGAGGTTTTCCTCTACAAGAAAAGCTGTACAGCCGCTTATGAACTATACTGTTGGTGCGTTGTAAAACCCAACCAAAAACGTTGAGAAATGGTATCTGATTGAAAATCTTTTCAATAAATTAATTAAAGTACTTTTTGTACTTTAAAAAAGCATGAAAGTTTGAATTTATAAAGTATTTTAAATACAAGGACAATATATAAAGTTTTTAAAAATATGATGGACGAAACAATTCACATTTTAAACATACGGGTGTATCAATTAAAGTCATAAATACTTAATTGATTTTTTTATTTTTAAAAAATAAACTTTCAATATATGACAATGACAATGACAAAAAGTTTATAAAAGTTAAATATAAATCAAGTTAATGTATGTAAGAAAATAAAGAACATCTATCACCAGATATTTACGAGAAGATACAGAAGAGTGGAACAATTGCAAATTGATATAGTTTTAGATTAATTGAGTTTATTTATTGACGGCATACGTGTATATCTTCTATGTTTTCTTCTGTCCATCCCATTTGGCCCCGGAATAAGAAGAAGTAAGCATACAAAATAGTTCTCTCAATGAAAATGATGCGCGGACAATGATATGTAGTCATAATATAGTATCATATGTTCATGAAATTATAAAATTGTCATTTCCAATCATATAAAAGCGCATATGAATCCATCAATTTGGTTTATACAAGAAAACAAAAGGGAATATTAAGTATATTTTATATCGCACGATCTATTAATCCGAACAAAGTACACATTTTTTAATGGAATAAAATGTTCTTTTCCATACAGAACAAAAAAGAAATACTAGTAAACAACTCATTGCAAAGTCTTGATGCACCATAAAATATCCGAACATAACCGAACACAAATGTAAACTCACGATGTAAATATTTAATTTCATGTTTTAAAGGTATCTGAAAGGAAAACGTAATATGTTACATTATGTTTGTCTATCTAATTTCAGATTCACCAAAACATTGGTCGGCATTCAGGTTCACTAGAAAGCCACATCAACAGAATATCCAGTCATTCGGCGTTCTTGAAATCCATAACACTAGTCATTTACTATTTATACAAAATGATGCTTTGGATAATTCAACAATGGATCATTTTTGGCTTGTTCAAGAAAATCACGGTCAATTTGTAGAAAATATAAGTTGTCGCGGACCTTATGTACACAAGTCTTGTATCTGTAAAATGCCTTTGATGTCACTTATTGCATTTTTTATACCATTTACTTTAGGTTTGCTTCTAGCTATACCTACCGTTGGTATTTATGCGTATAGATTATTCAAACGTCGTCGTTCTGAGCATCTGCATAAAATTCATGGTATATGCAACAACAACAAAAGCAGATACAATAGAAGCGTTTCGGATTCGTCATTTGAGGACAGTAATACTGAACATCTTCTGGAAGACTTTGATTTGTGAACATAGTCTACATTTAAATGTATCCGTCCAGTTGATCGTACTTTTATTACATGTAAATGGTTTCTTTCTTGTTCACATATGCATGTATATGCTTTTAAGTGACACTTTTGAACTATCTTAGAAATTGATATCCATCATTCCATGTAGTTTTATGACTTTATTCTTACTGTGTGCTCCGGAATGCTGCAGTGTCTTCGCTGCTGATCTTCGGGTTGCGAATTTGATCTGAAACTACTTATTATCTTTCGGTCGAGACAATTAACATGTTTTAAGCCGGTTTAAATACAGTAGTTAAATAATTTTATATTCAGGTCTTTTCATGGTCAAAACAGGTATCTGCATAATCACCTGTTTAAAATGTTACAAGAAAACGTTACAAAACCTTGTGACGTGTATCTGTGCCATTACATTATTCATCGCTCCAATATCACATGTAATATATGTGCCGTTCATGTATTTATATTGTTTTATATTTTACGGTTTTAGTCGTGATTATAATTATTGCTAAAATTTGGTTCTGTACATATGTCTATTTTCAGTTTTGCCAGTTTTGCCTTGTTGGGCCTTCTTTAGGGATTTTGTTTTTTCTCCAGGCATAGCTAAAATTTTATGATTAATCGTTTGTCAACATTTGCATTAGTTTAACTTTATCATTGCTTTATATCGGTATTATTTGTATCTCCAATCCTTACATGTGATACATTTTGTTCTTGTAAATGTGTTTATTTAAGTGCATTGGGGTTGAATACATGGAATTATTTGTCAGGGCGAATATCTACCCAATAACTGTTTCTTCCAATTTTAAACAATAAGCTTCTATCTAGGTAAATCGTATGTAAGGTCAACTTACCTTTACAAAATGTTACATAAATTATGCTTTATTTTCCTAACGGTCACTTATTTTATACACTCTCTTATTTTCAAATGCAGTTAAATCTTTTTTCTGAAACTACATGAAATATTTACTTAAATCTAATTTAATAAATCATACAAGAACTATGGCACCGATACACAACATGTGTGAATGTAACTTTAGTTACTGGTACCTTCCGGATAATACAATGCTTAAATATTACAAAAGTTGCGTCTTTCAAAATTCCATTTTATTTAGTTCTACCCATTCTTTTCTCGTTTAGGGCACATGAATTTTTTTTTACTTTGGGACCATATGCCGCTTTTCATGGAATGGCACTAACATGTCACATTAAAGGTTATGTAAACGCATCTGCGGATGTTTCAAAATTCTAAATTTTACTAGTGCATGTTAAAATGTTGAATTCTGCTTAAGCCGGGGCTAGGGGGGGGGGGGGGGGCGGTAGTTTGCACTTGACAGTACCGTCCATAAACAGGCTCAATCGAACCGAGCCTGCAACATTTTCAATTTTGCCGTGTTGGGTTTTCTTTAGGGTTTCTTATTTCTCTTTTTGTGCTCCTCTCATATCGATGATTACCTGGCATATATGTTAAATATATGTAAATTTGTACATGATATTGTAAACAGCATTAGTATTATAAGTCCCCTACCGGTTTAACCGGAGGGGACTTTAGGTTTACCCTCCGTCCGTCTGTCTGTTTGTATGTCTGTCCGTCTGTCTGTCTGTCTGTCTGTCAGTCCGTCAGTCCGTCCGTCCACAAAACTGGATCCGCGATAACGTAAAAAGTACTGAAAATATTTTAATGAAACTTGATATATGGATAGATGGCAGTATGGAGATTATGCACGCTTTTTTTTCTTCCTATGTTGAAAATTCTGGTTGCTATGGCAACAAATAGTCTGAAAATATGGCAAATTTAACACATAAACTGGATCCAGTGATAACTCAAAAAGTACTGAAAATATTTTTATGAAACTTGAAATATGGGTAGATGGCAGTCTGGAGATTATGCACATCTTTTTCTTTTCTTCCTATGTTGAAAATTCTGGTTGCTATGGCAACAAATAGCCTGAATTTCAAGATTTCTGATTTGAATTTACAGCTTTTTCACTATATGTTCTTTATTTCTTAAGGTGTTTACTTCAAACTTTAAATATAAGTTTCTGGTCATCAACCGCCTCATATTTGACAAGGTTTATAACTCTAGCACAAAAATTATCAGTATTACCTCCCTTGAACTTAGATTTTTTAGGGGAAAAAATGGTGTCTTTTTTAAATAACTTCTTTGATTTAAATTTTTCAGCTTTTTCACTATATGTTCTTTATTTCTTAAGGTGTTTACTTCAAACTTTAAATATAAGTTTCTGGTCATCAACCGCATCATATGTGACAAGGTTTATAACTCTAGCACAAAAATTATCAGTATTACCTCCCTTGAACTTAGATTTTTTAGGGGAAAAAATGTTGTCTTTTTTAAATAACTTCTTTATTTCCTAATGTATCTACTTCAAACTTCATATATATGTTTCTTATTATCACTCAACATTTTTGGGAAGGTTAAATACTCTAGCAAGACTATTTCCAGAATTATGTCCCCCTTGAACTTAGATTTTTTTCGAGAAACAGGTATTTTCACTCCAATTTCTTTATTCCTTATAGGATTTAGTTTAAAATCCCACATCGTAATAATATGACAAGGTTGTATAAACATAATTTCCTTACTAGACATGGAAACTTAACACATTAATGTGATATAGACAAACTTAGAACTCAAAAGATTTAAGTTCATTCATGTCATTCATTCACTGGTAAATTTGAATGGCAAATGGCCCATCAGAATATTGCTGGGGTTCTAACCGGTAGGGGACTTATGGATTGCTTGCAATACTATGATAATTGCTTGTTTTTGTTTTAGAATAGTTTAGATTTAAAGTGTGCTTTGTTAAGACAATTGATGACATCACCTCAAGTATTTGTGAGATTTATACTTTGTTACTATAGATACTGGTAATTTATTCTTTAAATGAATAATTATACTGTGAGCAATAAATACAAATGATAAAAGGTTCATGGCGTTTTTTTGTTTTTTTTTTTACTTTTTGAGTTTTTTTTATCTCTTTCGTTTAGAAAGTTGTTCATACTCAATTTGTTTACTCGATTTGAGGAGTGAAGCTCCAAAATTTTAAAAATTAGAATTGAGCCGCGTCACGACAAAACCAACATAACGGGGTTGCGACCAGCATGAATCCAGACCAGCATGCGCATCTGCGCAGTCTGATCAGGATCCATGCTGTTCGCTTATCAACTCTATTACAAGTGGAGAAACTGACAGCGAACAGCATGGATCCTGATCAGACTGCGCGGACGCGCATGCTGGTCTGGATCCATGCTGGTCGCAAACTCATTATATTGGTTTTGTCATGACACGGCTCATTTCATTAATGTTTCCTGATTCCATGGTTTTATACTAGCACTAAATTGTTTTCTTTTTCAAGTAACTTGCAATTTATAAAAGAATGGTATTTAATAATGTCCTTATATAGGAACCAAGATTTGTAGAGAAATGAAGTATTTTGTAAATGAGTATTTTTGTATCCATTTCAAGATAAAATAACTAGCATCATGGTTTAATACCAATACACACATACTGAACGAAAATAAAGTATCTGTTATTTATGAAAAAAATAAAATATTTTAATTTAAAGTCAATCATATCTAAGGAATAAATGGTATTTCTATTTTGTTATACAGATTAAGGGAGACAACTACAAACAGTAAATAGTATGTAATATTTGGAGCTTTCTCCCTTTAAATGATGGTAGGTCTCCAGTAATAACAAGGGACATCAACACCGAATTTTAAAGTCGTCTTTCGTTCTTGAACTTTGTTCCGCCTAATTGTCTTTTTTTCTGTATATCAAATATTTTCTAACAGATAATTTGATATAAACTTTGTGGCAGTCGTTATAAATTGGTACTTTTTTTATTTGTCATAACCGCCTTCTTTCCTGATGGTTATTATTTCTCATTGTAATGGCATGTCTATCGTTATAAATTGCTGATTAAAATAAAAGGCGGTAACATTGTACTTCTCACTTCGTGGCCCGTAACATAATACAAAAATACAGTCAACATTATCTTGTCATGATTTGCGAAATAATTATATTAGCATAGTAATAATATGATGTTAGATTATATTTTTTATATGATTACCATTGATGCTTGAACTGACAAAATAAAGAAAAATGCCATGATCATTCCACATTACTAAAACGAATATTGCAAATGCCATTGGGCAGAAATAATGACATCTTATTCCTTCTTAAAATTACATCAAACTTTACTAGCCGACAGTCGAATCAATATTTATGTCGGATATATGTCGTCTGTTAATTTGATAAAGATGATTTAAATATAATAGGCGCTTAAATAAACAAGTGTTTAACCTTGAACTCTTCTTATGATTTCATTGATTTTCTTTAGACCGGGCGGTCAAGGATAACCTACGAAAGTGCAAGCACTTATTTCCAGTAGGGTCCTTATCTCACCAGACTCTAGAGACAGCTATGAGATACAAGGGAGTCCGGGAACCAGTCCCTAGCTCTTATTGAAAAGACCCCTTGGTTCTTTTACATGCCCAGTGTATAGCACTGATACATGCGAGGATTACCTGGGTTTCTTACCAGTAAACCTCTAGGTAGGTGGGAAACACTGAAAGTGTCTCTGAAAAATCCTAAGGGTGTTACCCAGGATCGAACCCGGAACCTCTGGAGTGACAGTCAGTGGTCTAACCAACTGAGCTATCGCGCCACCTAATTGCGAAAATTACGAGAATGCTCTATACACAAGAGTCCATCAAACGCGTTTTGCAGTAAACCAAACACTGGAAGACTTGACATCTTTTACCCGCCAATTATGATGGAATTTATGTAACAAAATAAGCATTTGAAAATGTGCTAGAACAATAAGCTAATAAGTGTCCTAGTAGCTGTCGAGAATCGCCCAAATACAATCATAAAATAGATCTTCCTTTACAGAAATATGAAAATAGATGGCATCACAGATTTGATTATTTAGTAAGGACTACTAATATTTTTACATCGTGTAAAAAAAATGTTCAACCTACGAAGGAAAACCAAAAAAAAATAGTTTCCAAAATAAGCAATAAAACCTGGAGACCCTTATTTTGTATTGCAAATAGAATGTTATGACCGCTGTATAACCTTTCTCCAACATTAATCATGGGTAGCGTACATTGTAGCTATAAAATGGTAGTAATTTCTATTCATGAAATTCATTGGCCACCCAGTATATTAGTGTGAAATTTTAAACAGAAATGTATGGTGGCCGGTAGAGTCCATTTAGAAGCCGCGAGAAATTTTACCGTCAATTTATAAATTGTCGCGGGCAACTTTTAAATCTGTGAGATTTTATGTCGGAATTGTATAGAATGTCCGACTTATAGAAACTCTCGAGTTTTTACTTCACACTTCTGTCGTATAAAAACCGAGTTTTTCGAAGGAAACCGCGAAATTATCTGACTACATAGTAGACTAAGCCACGTGAAATTTGCAACTTTAAGAAGAAGATTGCGGCCATTATAACCCGCGTCACTTTGTTTTAATGCATACCTAGTAAAAAGGTGTGTTTTGAGCATTAAGACTCGGCTTGCCGGAAAATGTCTCTTTTAAATATGCCTCGGCTGAAAATTGTTATTACTCACAGCGATATTTTATGAGACCGTTGTTTAAAAACAAAAAGTCGCAGCGTACAAATTTCCACCTCATTTTTTTGTAGAATCTCTACAACACTTAAAAAATGTGGCGGATTTCTTTCTGTTCCTCGACATTTTATAGAAGACAAACGAGGGATAAAATGTGGAGTCAAACCATGGACGCTCCCGGCCACAGGTCAAAAATGTACATTGCTGTTTCCAGCGACTGCTATAAAACATCGACATTTTGTACAATTCCAGCAGAAAATCTCGCGGGTTTGTAAGGTGCCCCCCGACATTTAATGATTTCCCGGGGGTTTGAAATGGCCGTAACAGGCCACCATAGAAACATAGCAATGCTCTATTTATCAGACTTTGTGGGAAGTTTAATGATTTTAACAAGCTTATTTACATCGGTTACAAAAATGTCGAGGTCGTTTGTCAAGGTCGTTTTTTACCATTTTAGAAAGTAAGATTTCCAATACTGCATGTTATCATATTCAATACTGCAGTCTCTCTTTCAGCGTGTCGGCATATTCCGTCAATGTCGAGCTGACGTCTTTAGTATACACGACAATTAACTTTATAAAATCAAAGCACTGAATGTACTGATGGGGAGGCTATGACAGAATGTTTCAGACTTATAGTTTCTTTTCTTTTTGCTTAAAATGTGCTATTAAATAAGAAGATATGCACATTGCGCCATTTATCGTTCAGCCATATATATGGTTAATATGGTTGACTTTTCATTTTGTTAATATTCCAGAACATTTCATTGAGGTCTACATTCGGATTGTTAATCAAGCAAATTTTGAAAAACCTTAAAAACCATTTATAAATGACATACCAGCAGGTATGACGACTGTTCATAATAAGATCATAAAATACCATTTTACAACTGACGGTTCCTTATCAAAATATTCTAGGACTGTTCATCATAAATACTTTATGTCATTTTAATATCATTGAATGATAATAAGAACTGCAAGTTAAGCAACATTTTAATTGAACATAAAAATTATACATATTTACAAGTACCATATAATTGAGATCAATAAGACACTGTCTTGTGATGAGTATTAATATTCATGCTCTACGGACAGAAAGTTGTCTTCTCCCGAAGCAAATCTCGAATAAAATCACGTCCCATTTCATTACTCGTCGCTGACTTTGACGGCTTCGGATAATATTAAAGCTAAATATTTCTTGAAAAAAATACATATCTGCAAAGCTTATTCAAAATTGAATCAACCTAAGTGAAAATTGATCAGGAAGTTATATCCTCTTTTTTACCGCCAACAATCAACCAACTTATGGTAGTTTATCGATAGATTTTAAACCTCACTGGCTTGAAATATATACTGCGGAAAATCTGTTGTTAACAGGGTGTGCGGTTATTACGTAGGGAACTTTTCCTTGTCGACCATTTCCCGCAAATAGATGAGAACATCAAAGCGTCAGTGCTATGAATGGTGTTATAAATAGCGTTTTTTGGAAGTTTTTGATGAAACTTCTCCAAATCCCTCCAGAGGTATGCACGTCGCGCAGAAGGCACACGGCAGGTCAAGGTCTAGTCATCTCAAGTACCAGAGGTGATTGGTTGACCTGTCGTAACTTACTTTGGAGGTTATGCCGTTTTTGTTGTCGTCAGTCAGGAAGTTGATGCCTTGACAGTACTGTCGTCTCCTTTACCACTAACAAACAAAGAATGGGCTACCAGGAAGATTCTGCTTGAAAAAGACGTCCCCGATGCTATAATCTCGGACATATGGTTATTCCGGTGCCGAGAATAAATGAACTTAAAACACACACTCAAACAAAACAAAAAAACAACAACCTGCTTACAAGCAAATTAAGCTTATACTCCGAATAACTGAAGTTCAAATATCTTCGAGGCTACGTTCATACGTGTACTGATGTCTTATTTTCAGGGATAATGAGTTCGTTCCAGAGGTGACACAGGTGTTTTGTTATTTTTTCACTTGTGTTTACAATAAATAAATTAATACATAGAGGATATTCAAGTTTTTTCATAAATACATGATTTATTTTCATAGAGTGGTATGAAAATAAATATTTCATGAGTGGCGATAGCCACGAGTGAAATATGGTAATTTTCATGCCACAAGATGAAAATAAATCATGTATTTATAGAAAAAACATGAATTTTCTGTTTATTATATACATTTTTCTCTTTTTTGACATTAAAATTTGAAAAACTTTCCCTTAAATTGTGTGTACTTGCAGAATTTAAAAGAAAGTAGTCCTGCAAGACACCAGTGAAAATACGGAAAATATGTTTCACTGCAGTGAAAAATATTTTTTTACAGTGAAAATACGGAAA